CTTATATTTTTTATATAATTCTATATATATGTATTTGATCAATAAAGAATTTGGGAATTATTATTATAACTCTAAGTAAACGAATGAATTATCCTTTTACATCATTTTGATAAGAAACCGTAATAAAAACAATTAAGGTTGTTTTCTCTTAGGCGACCAATCGAGGGTTGAATCTGCGTCGAGAAAGAAATTAAGGGGACACTTACCTCGCGTGATTATATGATTCTGTCGCGGCCTTCGCCGGAAGTGGCCGGAAGTAACATGCCGATAGCAGGAAATAATTTGCGTGTCCGGCTAAATCGAGCAAATGCAATATCGACGAGTTTGAATGTTATCGTGCAGACTATCTTGTCCATTATATCAATAAAAAAAAGATATAATTAATTTAATTAAATACACAAAACTGTCATAAAGAAACAAAATTTTATATTGAAAAAAAAAAAAATATACAAAATCGATTTAATATTTGTTTTTCTTTAAAACATTGAATCGGCACATCAATAATCTTGATATTGACATCAATAATCTTGATATTTTTACAAATTCCCGTGTAATTTCTGCGTAAAGGAATTTAATAAAGTGGACGATGAAGGACACGATAAGTACGATAAAAATTAATTTCTCACGCAATAACATTGCAGAATGAACACGGACGTCCGATCGAAAACCACGATCCTCATGGAGCTACTATTGCGTATGACGTAATCTTGTAATGTCATGAATTTAGGAAGTCGACACGCAAAATATCAGAAACGCAAAGCAATAATAAAAATTCATTTCCACGATGGTTTTCAAATTATTTTTCAATAGAAGAAAAACACTTCATAACGTGATAATTCCATGTAATTTATATTTTCTTCAAGTTATATGAAATCTCGGTGTTTCGATTAGAAATTAAATTCAAATTGCATACAATTAAGTAAATTACATTTTGAAATTACATTTTGGAGTTAACGGTAAATAAAAATTTAATGAATAGATTTTTTTTTCCTCGCGCGAGAATCAGCGATAAAAAATAAACATCGAGAAGTTTCAATTTCTCATCACTGAATTTTCTAAATTATGTAAACTCTAAAAATTATACTCAGTGAGTTAAAACCATAGAACAATGTTTATCGGGAATTAAATCAGATTGGGGGACGATTTAATGAAAAGAATTTCTCCGATGCGTGTGATGATTTTGCCAAGCGATAAAGACTGACATGGTCATGCTCGTGCGAAACACAAGCGAAGTCGAAGGTACTCCGGCTTGATGATATCAAGAAGAAAAAAAGCTAGCCACCGAAAAAGCGGATAGTGGCGAAATCCTACCTTAGGATGTAATTGACGCAGACAACGGAGATTGGTTTCTGCTGCTTGGCGCAGTGGATAAGAGTGGCTTGGGTGACGACCCAAGCGTAGCCTCCTCGTTTGCCCAGAAACCTGTACGCCACGGTCTCGCACTGGCCCTTGCTGAACACTGAAACAGCACAACGGTGTTGATGAGAATGCGATCGTTCCAGGACTCAGGACACTTACACGAGCTCTCATCCACGCAGCTTTATAGCAGCGCCGCGTCGCGCGCGCGTTTCGTCTGACGAAAGATACGGCGTGAGATTGCAAACTCCGTTCCATCGATCGGCATGGGATTACCGAACGTGACAATTAACGAATTGACGATGTATCAAAAAGAGAAGGAAACTAGACGCTACAGTAATTGGCCAGTAGTTCGCTGCTTCAAAAAAAAAAAAAATTTTGTTACAAACCAAAAAAAGAAAAAAAGAAAATAAAAAATTTACAATACAAATTACAATACAATTTATTTCTGATGAAATAATATTTGCAAATCTATTTTCATCGATACTATCCAGTCCTTAACAAATTAACGAATGAACAGCAATGAAAATAGAAACTAAATTATTAATAAATAAAAATAAAAATAAAAGAATTACATTAATATGTACATATGTAAACGCAGTTTGAGGAAAATTATTAAAATCTCGCCGTAAAATCTCAGTCCCTGCAATCTTGCAAGATTTTTGATGAAACACGGAAGAACAGAGATATCAAACGTTTTATTGCGATTGTGAGGATCCCGTCGTAAGATTACTTCGCAAATTCCGGCGCTCCAGGCTAGCCTCTTCGAAAAGCGTATTATCTCATTCCTGAGGGTAGAAATGTATCTTCACGTCCCTACATTCCCGTAAAACGCGACTAGGGTGGGATTAGTGCGGAGCTGATTCGGCCGGAAAGCCGAGGTTGGTCGGCGTTAAAGGAGAATGGGATCCTTGACGTCGCGGAACGTTGCTCGAATGCGCAAAGCTCCTAAAGCTCCGACCAACCAAATCGTCCCCTCGCGATCGTACATCCTCTAGCAACGAGCGATCGACCTCTAATATCGACCTCGAATACTCGATCAAATGCGCTCCTCCTAATATCAAAAATTTATATAGATCTTTTTAAATTTCTTATATTGACTGAGGTCTGTCGATAACAAATCTATCGGATATAAATTTCGAAATTATGACATCATTTAGGATTAATTTGTTACTTATCAATGTCCAGCGTGATTTAATATCTGCATATCTCAGTGCGATTTAGTGAGTAAAACTTCTATTTTAAAAAGGATTCCTCAAACATATATTTATAATTACGTAACGTTATTATTTTTAGTATATATAATCCAATCGCGGTGTTGAATATATCATTCAGGACAACTATCCCGGCTGTGTCTCAATGTAAAATAGCAGTCGAACGATAAAATATCTTTCGACGTTTTTATCGCTCGCACTTTGTCACTGTGTCTCATTTTTCATTATCTACCTGCGATTTTACGAGTCAATTATCGAAATCGGCGCGATAAAGCCGGCCACGTGCACGCTCGTAAATACCAGTGGGAAACGCAGCAATTGCATAACTGGTAGCCGATAACGTAAGTTCCCGCGTTAGTCTGCGGTCCCTGGAAGTCGTAAAAAAGGCCTTCGTCGGGTAGCGCCGCGATAAGAGATATGATCGTCCTTGAAACCTTCCCCTCCCCCCCCCCGGCCGTGTCATTCACCCAGGTCGATCCACTCCGTAAACCGCGTCTCCTCCCCTTTCACCACACCGCTCCGTCAGTCCCCTTCCAATACGCTTTTTATACACGCTCCTTCACTTTGATGACTATCACGTTTCTCATCCAAATTACTCGCGCACAGCGTAATATCTCGGAAATGAATTAGAAATAGTACCGATGTAACGGTAACAACCCTTATATGTAATTGCCACTTAACAACCATTTGATTGTATGACTTTGGTTATGTATATATATATATATATATATATAATAATTCGCGTATAATAGAATCTTTATTAGGATGACTCTTTTAGGAATTTCAAACTGAATACACTGAACACAATGTCAAACGATTAAAGAGTATCACATATAAATACAAAAAAAATAAAGATAAAATACTCAGAGAATTTAAGATTAATCGACAATTCACAATTAATGATAACAGATTTTGAGGATGTTCAAGTAATAACAATAAGTAACGATAATTTTGAGAAGTTTCGTTATATTTAGGTAACCACGTTTTAATCTAGTAATTTTTTAGTTTAAATTAATTTAGTAAGAAAAAATAAAAATATACTTACGGCATTTGAAACACTTGTCCAGCGCCAAATTGTCGAGCGCGTGATAAAACTCGAAGACCGATCGACCCATCAGCTCCTCGCTGCTCCAGCCCAGATATTCAGCCAATCTGAAATGAGATAAGAAACATTTCTAGTGATATAATAAAGTGATATAATAAATCTAGTGATATAATAAAATATTTACTTACATAATGATTACAAAAACTTAGTTTGTTTATTTTGAAAATATTACGTGTATTTACAATGCAACGCATTACAAGGAAATCACTCGAATCTCATGTACGATAAAGTATAGCACAACTTATCGGGTAATGATAAGATCGATAAAACATTTAATCATTGCGCTAATTATGCAAGTCAACAACGACGAAGGTAACGAGTATCAATATGAAATGACGCGCAATAATCGACAATTAATTATCTCGCAAATCGGGTTTGCACGTGAACTGAATCTAGCAAGAAATCTCAATACGTCGAACGTAAAAATAAGAGGAAATGTAATAAGTAAATTCCATCACTTACTTCTCATCGGCGTAAGTAAATTTCATGCTGAGATTGTGTTTCGATAAGAAGGTATGGCGCCCCAAAGGAATCTCGATGTTACTTGGATGGGGTATTGGACTACCCACGAGCACCAAGGAGACGCTTGTGTCTTGTTTCACGATTTCATCCTCTTTCCCTTGCTCTTCATTATCAACTTCCGTAGAATTCGAGTTGGAATCGTGGATATTCGTCAATCTCCCAGTGCAGTGAATTACCTATAAATATTTTCAATCGTGGACGCATTCACTAATTATAATTAATATTCATTAATTTGATTAAAAAGGTTTTTGTTAAAAAAAATTCTCAACAGAAGAAATGAAAATGAAATATTGTATTAAAATATTAAAAATTTTATTATTACAACTCTGCTATTCGATGTATTGATTGATTTTATTAACGTAAAAACATAAAATCCATTTTATATAAATAATATTTTTATTATGATGGTAAAGAATAATGGATAATAAAAGAAATAATGGAAATAAAAGGAATAATGGAAATAAAAGAATTTAATAATAAAATTATTTATTTTTCATTAAATTACGTTTTCTCTCTTAAGATTTATATTTATTCAACATTTCGTCACGATTATTAATATGGATAAAGAGTCTCCATGTTTTAACGTACCTTGTAAGAAGCGCTCTTTAGATTGACCTTCCTGCCTTTGCTGGTAAGGGTGCATTTAAGCCGTAGGAAGAAGTTGCAAGCACGTTTCTCATTGTTATCCGTTGGTTTCGAGGAGAGGCACTCACGCAATTCATCATGGTCGCAGGGATGGCTATATTCGTATACGCTTTGGCCCATCATGTCCATCTATGCAAAGTGTAGAGATCTGCCGTTTAATTTTCCATCCCCAAATTCTCATAAAAATCGTAATTCTACATTCATAATCATATTTATATTTTATATTTGTATAACTAGCTATACATCTTCATTCATATACATTCCAAATTTTAAACTTTTTATAAATTTAACTTAACCAAATATCAAATTTGTGAGCTAAAAAATTATTTTACACGAAAACATTTTTTTTTTAATACAAAAATTATTTTTCGTATTATTTGTACCATTGTTTATTTCTCATAATTAATGCTTACATATATGTCTAGATTTATCTTACATACTTGTGATATTCCGAGATAATCGCTGACGTTCTCCGAAAGGTAGACCATATTACCATCACTGGAGAGAACTAACATAAAGCCGTTGAGAGCTTTTGGAAATAGCTTATCCATTTCTGTTGATGACTCGGACTTTGTCGAAACTGGAATTGATGTTTTTAAGAGAAAATTTAATGACGCTATTGATTAAATTCCAAAATCGTTTGAGATTACAAAATTATGAATACTAGAATCTAGAATCTCTCTTTAAATTCTGGAAATATTCATATTTCAAAATATCCTCAAATAATCGAACTAAGGCTACACATAATCAATCACAAAAGAAATGCAAATTTTCAAATGTTTTAAGAAGTTAAGAGTCTAATAATTAATCTATATTTTAAGATATTTCAAAACATTTGGCAATGTGAATATATTTCCTTATTTCTAGTTGAATCAGGATGTCTATTTAAATCTGAAAAAAAATTCCCTGAGAATTCTCTGATTTTCAGGGCAGTTTATTAAAAATTCCAGATAAAATAAAAATATTTGTAAATGTATCTTACAAATAAACATATATTTACTGTGCAAAATTCTTAATATTTTTTCGTTCCACGTAAGTATGTAAATCATAAAATAAAATTAAAAATCACTCGAGTTTCAGTAATTAAATTTGAAAAATTAAAAAAAAATTATAAAGAACCCTAAAAAATAAATATTTTATATCGTACAAAATTTTCAAAGTTTATTTTCAAAAGCTGCGAAAAAAATTATGTGATGCATAACCAGTACAAAATTCAGCTTTTATAAAACTTTTATTAAAATAAATATTTTTTTATTAAACTGCACTTAACATCGTTGTCTTTATAAAATCTTTATCTTCAATATTGAATATATATTTAGATTAGTCATAAAATCACTATGCTCTGATTAAAGTGGATAGCTCCACTGATATCATTAACAATTCAGGTAAATTTTAATGTAGATAATATAAAGACAAAATATTAGAAAAGGCAAAAATTCCCTGAGTTTTCAAGTAATTTTTAAAAAAATTCCTTGAGAATTTTCCAGGTTTTTCAGATTTTTCCAGAGAGTCGTCCCTGGTAAACACCCTGTGATAGGTCGCATCTTATATCTCCAGATAACGAGAGGGAAGTCATCTTCGCAGCAAGGCAATTGATGATGACAAACGTCGAGATATTGTCAACTACTCACTGGAATCCACAACAGACCGGACTTTGAGGTAGGCAATCGCCAATCTCATTACGCTGGCCTTATCCAAGAACGTCGCCTGTTCCGGTGCGACCGGAAGTATGGCCGCGAGTTCAGCGAAGATATCGGTTTCCCTGCTGCGCCTACAACGAGCTGCATCGCGGGATCTCTCCTTCCTCTTTTCGTTGCTCCTGCAATAACACGAGAAATTTCTTTTGTCTACTGACTGCGAAATAAATCGACAACCTCTCGGCGGTGTTTATTTTATTCCGACGAGAACCGCGCAATCTGTGTGAATTTCTGAGAGAATATACTTTTATAAATATCACCATCGATTTTCGTAAAATATATCACAATAGATTGCAAACGCCGTCGAGATCCGCTGTCGATATCCCTGAATGTTTTTTCAACGGGAAGTGAACTCCAACCAACTTTTTGAGATGAGAAATCAACGCGGTTTCGGAATATATATATATATACAAGTTTTCAAGTTATCAAGTTTTGCGCGCTTCTCTCGCGTTAGAATGAATCACGCGTGTGTACGAGAGCTATCTCCTACTAAATCATTTTTTTCAGCAAACAGACGTCCTGAAGTACTTGGTGAGCGACAAGTGTCACGTCGGGTGCACTATCACGCACGATAAACGGTTCTCATTCTCCGATTCTAGAAGGTCGTCGTCGTCGCCAACTTGGCTCGATATTACGCTACGCCAATCATTACGGTTACACCAATCATGTACCAGCGTGTCGCACACCGCACCGATCTCGAAGCGAGGTTGCGCTCGGTTACCAAGCGCGAATATCTATGCGAATATCTATTATATGACGTATCATATGACAAAGGCAACATTTGTAAAATTTCAGTAGCGATTGAGCCTTTAGTTAGGATCCGATATACTCAAATTTCGTACAATGGCCGTACGATAGCTTCGTCATCAATAAAAAAGTCCTTAGTACTATAATTTTAGAATAAACAACAATTATTGCAAAATAAATATTTTACACGGAATAGCCAAAATACCCATAAAGATAATATCTAAAAAAAAAAAAATCTTTTTAAAAATATCTGATATCCATTTCTGTCAATATAGATTATAATCTTGCGGTAATATTTGCGGAAAATTGCAATAGCGATTGAATTCCGACGGTTGTATTCAAAATTTCGCCGATTTTGATAATCAATCAAAAATCCTTAGCATCATAATTTTAAAATAATCATTATCATAAATTATATTCATTGTAAAATAAATTTTATCCAGAATAGAATACGAATAAAAATAATATCTAAAAAAAAGCTTTCCAAAAATATCTGATGTCATTTCTATTAATATAGATTATAACGTTGCGGTTTTTTTTGCGGTAAGTAAAGTTCAATAGCGATTGAGTTTTCAGTTGAATTCGATGTATTTAAAATTTCGTAGAATCGACGACTTCGTCATCAATAAAGTCATTAGTAATTTTAGAATAAACAATCATTGTAAAGTAAATTTCAATCGGAATACCAATAAAAACAATTAAAAAAAATTTTCTTAATTTTTTCCAAAAATATCTGTGTTTATGTGTGATGTTCATTTCTATCAATATAGAATAATCTTGGTTCAATTTACTCTACTATCTTTTCCTAATACTTGGAAACAAAAAAAAAAATAAAAAGTAAGTGAGAAACCAAGATTAAAGTAATCTATATTGGTAGAAATGGATATGAAATAGATAAATCTTAAATGTAAGAAGCGAAAAAGGCAGAAGAGATGGCCTGGCGTGAAAATTATTCAAAATATTAGCTCGTGCGTTCGATTGACCGTTGTCGTTGCAGAATGCAACTTTACTAACAACTCGCACGGTGCATCTTTTTTTGGTCGTTGATCGATGAAAAACGCCAATGTTATCGCGAAGCGAAGCGTTATTATCTCGGTGGGCCGACCTTCGAACGATACTTCTTTCGAAATCGATCCTACGATCTACGTCACGTTTTCTCTCCCTCGCGTCCTCCTACCGCTCGTATACTTAAACCAATCAAAGTCAAACTGGCTAATCCAATGAAATAGTGATTAAACGATATGGAAAATCCCGCGGGAAAATAATATCGACTAATTTGCTTCCTTTCTTTTTCGCGGCGCGCGAGATATCATGAACAAATTAATAAAATTATTAAATATTATAAATTAAATATTAAATATTATAAATTATTAAATATTATAAAATGTTCTGTATCGCACAAGGTATAAATAACGCATGAAGCTTTATAATATATATATATATGAAGCTTTATTATTGAAAGTTTCCTCTGCGATCCAACTGGTTTAAGTGTTTAAAAAAATATAAAGTTTAGAAAAGTCAATTTTCGATAAAGAGCTTTAAAAAAACGGAGTAGAATATAATTTTAATCGAATTAGATAAAATTAAATTATTACTGGTTTAAATAAATATATATATAAATTTTGAAAAAATATAAAATTTAGAAAAATCAATTTCCGATAAAGAGCTTTAAAAAAAAACGGAGTAGAATATAATTTTAATCGAATTAGATAAAATTAAATTAAATTAAAAGATTCTAATTAATTTTAATTAAAAAACATACATTTATGTTCCACAAGAATTATTTTTATAGAATTATCATCATATTCATTTTGCGACTGTCGCGGTCACTCACATCCACGAAGGTGTCGAATGCGAAAAACAAAGGGACGTTGCAACGATCGCGGACTTACAGGTAATCCTCGAGAAGCTGGTCGTCCTCCACGTAGCCGTAATGCCAGTTATCGTTATCGTTATATCCATTCTCGTACATACACGGCGGCAAGACGGGAGCGCCGTAAACGTACGAGGGGTCGTAAAGGGGACAGCGATCGCTCGCTGGGCACTGCAGCCACCGTTCCTCGCTGCAGAAATTAAACAGTTCCGGACAATCGTTACAGAACCAATTGCCCGGCCCCGGACCGCTCCGTCCCAGATCGTGGGGGGGCTGCTCTCCGCGTACTCTCGCGTCGCAAAATCCTGGATCGCCGAATCTAGGGTCGCACGGTGGTGGTCCGTGAAACCGCGAGTCGTTATATCCCGAGTTGTTATAGACGTCGCAATGAGTATCGCGGAGCCGCGAGTCGTCGTTGTAGCCCAGATCACAATAGGCCAGAGTGCTGGGTCCCATGTCGCAGGCTCGCAGTGTATCGCCGGGCGCCAGGTCGCAAGAGCGTAGGACGCGAAAGTCGAGGTCACGAGGACTCTCCCGTGGCGGCTGGTTCATCCTCGCGGCCTGTCCGTATCGCGGTTTCCTCGAGTGGATCGCGCGATTGCCGGTCGCGGGCGGCCTGCAGCCGTCCACCGACGTCGGGTCAAAGTACATCGCGAGGTCCTCGACGTCGATCGGGCCCAGCTGGCAATTCTTCGAGGTCGCCGAGCTCAACGGGCGTCTTCCCGATCGCGGCTCAGCCAAAGAACCGTCGTTGTCGTTGTCGTTGTCGCGGAACCACGTCGTCTCCGGACTATCACAGTCGGTCGGGGCGACATTGCACGTTGCTGACGTGATATTGCACGTCGTCACGGGTGCATTGTTGCATGCCACGTTGCAGCCTGCACCAGGCGCATACGAGAATTTCATCGTGGGGCAAGACGTCGTCCCGATAGCGCAAGCTCGCAATCTGACATTATCGCCAGTGTGTGACGTAATGCTGGGAGAGAGTGCGGCAATATTGTCGGGTAAGACGTTCACGTTGTCGAACGCAATCGCTGGACCATAAGACGACGACGACGACGACGACGACGATGACGACGACGACGACGGCGGGGGAGATGACAGCGGTAGAGGCGGCGCGAGTTTTAGCAATTCGCACGACGGGAAATCGATCTCGTTTCCTCTCGCCATGTGACGCGCATCGACATCGACATAACCCGTCGCCTTGCCGATCCAATTGTCGCGAGGATCGGAGCAACGACCCCGCTGCTGACGACCGTCGCCGAGGATGATGTTTGTATCTCCCTCCCTCGCCTCGCTTCCTCCTCCTGGTGTCACCTCGTGCAAACGCACGTTCATTGCTTCTTCTCGATCTTTGATCAAGTCGCTAATTGTTCCTCTCTAATCTTTTCTCCTTTCACCTTCACCTTCCCCTTCAGTATCTCCTTTCGCTTCTCTCTCTTTCTCTTTCTTTTTGTACTTCTTTTACTTCCTAATCGTACCTTGCTTCGATCTACGTGATTAGCGAACTTTTCATGTTCTAAGAGATTTTTTTAAAATCAATGCCGCGAGGTCGTATTTTCTTGTATGCCTTTATTTCTTCGACAAAAAAATTCTATCTCGAAATATTATCCTGATTCATTGATTATCAGTCCACTTAAAAGCAAATATTCGACGCGTTAATGCGTTTTAACTCTAGTTGTTTTCCACTTGTTTGAAATTTCACCCCTTTTCTCTATCACTCACGTTCAGTTTTTTTTATTTTTTGTGACGCGAAGAGCTTATCTTGGTCACGTCTGGTCCACGTGACCGATGTACAATCGAGACTTTTCCAATGGTAAGAGAAGAGGAGGGGACAGGGACGTAAAAAAAAGACAAGAAAAATAAGACCTGCTTGTTTTGATATCCCAATTCCTCTTTGCAAGTGAAATATCTAGTTGTCTATCCACGCTGCCCTTCTGTTTCTGTTCTTTCTTTTCTGTTTATTCGCTCCACTCTTTTTCTTATCTTTCACAAAATTCGCTCTCTACGTTACGGTACGAGATGAACGAAGTTGCGTCCTCGCAAAAGAAAAAAAAAGAATAAAGAAAAAAAACTTACTCCTTTAACTTCGTTTATTTTTCTCTCCTACCTCCGTTTCTTCGTTCTTCTCTTTCCGCTAATCCGACATATTCTCCTTCGTGTTTTGTCTATGTTGAACGACACTTTCTCATCTCTTCTCGTCAGGATTCCGTCATCAATCTTTCCCCATCTTCAACCGGAATTTCCGCCCCGCCCCTTCAAGAGCCAATAGTCTATATTTCTATTATTATCTCTTATCGGCTTATCTCTTTATTGTATCTCTCTTGTAAATTCTCTCTTATTCTTTAGCTTAAGGGAACTAAGTCCCGCTGACGATCGTCAGAAATTAAAATTGTCAACAAATATGTCTAAATTTATCGATTCGTCGAGAGTTTAACCCTAGACGGGAGATCGTCATCCCCGTCTTCTCTCATGCTCCCTTTGACACGAGTTTTGACTTCCACTTTCGCGGTTCACGCGATACTAAAGCCCCGGTTAGTAATGCGATGCTGTTTCTGCCGGGCGTTTCGAACGATCGTTATCTCACAGGTCGATAACGATACTCTATCATCGATGTCGCGCGCGTAACGTAACAAAATTGCCAGACGCGTTTGCGCCATTTCGGACCATTTCGATTTGCAATTCGTACGTTTCGACGTTCCAGATCTTTATCGTTCTACAAATTTCAAGTACCTTTGATCATGCAAATCAGCATCAAATAGTCTCTTACTACTATAGTTTCAGTTATCGCAAAAGTATTTTTCTGCAATATGTGATACAAAGAAAACGAATAAACACCCACACCAACATTCACGAGAAGATAACGGCATAAAATGCGGAACAGGCGATAAAATTCGTGGAATACACGGTCTCTATACCACTTTGAGAGACGCCGATAGAAAGGAACGTGGATGAAAAACAAAGCAATTAGCATAAATTTGCATTAAGCAGCACGTACGCGGCTTGTGGCTTCTAGATTATTGCGATTAGATTAAAAAAACTAGATATAAATCTAACCAGAAAGAAATATCTCATCCAATATCATTTTAATATCATATGCTATTTTTAAAAAAATTATATATTTAAAAAAAAAGAAATCATCATTATTACTTCCGGACATGTGCAATCTCGTATAAATCTAGATTATTGCGATTAGATTAAAAAACTAGGTATAAATCTAGCCAGAAAGAAATATCTCATCCAATATCATTTTAATATCATATGCTATTTTTAAAAAAAATTATATATTTAAAAAAAACCATCATTATTACTTACGGATATGCGCAATCTCATATAAAGATTCGATCAAATCACACGTTGAAAGATAGTTCCGATGCAACGCGGATGTTGCAAGAGAATTTCTTTTGTGTTTGACGTATCTTTTAATAGAAGCCCGATAAAGAGGCATCTATTTTTCTCTCTTAGTAGTCTTGCGTTTAATGACTTTCCGGTAATTTGAATGCCTGGTGGTCGGCCATAATCGCAAGCGCTCCTATCGCGAAAGATAACGCGATCTCCGAGTATCGGTGGGAGAGAACAAGGGGCATCATTGTACGCGGATCATCCGCAAGCGGTTTATCCGGGATTTTCCTCGCCGTGTCGGGTGAGACTGTCGTGCAATCTACACGAATTCGACGCAATCCTGATGCAACCTGCACGATATTGCACGATATCTTTGAACGTCGATCGTAATCCTCGCAACGACAATTTGCGCAATCGGAAGTCCCGCATCGAGACGAAAATGCGGAAATCATTTAGGGATTGATTTATGGGACTCGTGTTTTGATTTATAAAATACGTCTCGCGGTCTTTGATATAAAGAAATATTTCAGTTTTACTCGCACGATCACAAACAGATAAGGATTTGGCAGCGTAACTTTTACCGCGTTTAAATTTCATGGATAAATGATGACTAATACTTCCGGATGTGCGATATGCATACAATACTTGACGTTTTGGGTGAGCGATAATGTTTTATATATGTACAAAGTACACACAGAAAAAGTTAGTCTTCAAATCAAGGCAAATATTCTCAAGAATAATTACGGCCTTCTTAAAAATATTATAATCTTTATATGAAAGATTTTTAGTCTTCTCTGAGTCGAGCAAAGGTAAGTACTTGCATCAATATACAAATTCAATCAAATCGAGACTAAAATTTTTCTAAAAAGATTAAACACTCTTACTTATATATAAGAATATATAATCCTGATTTAAGACTAATTTTCTTTTGTATGTTTACATAGGAAGTATAATACGTGGTTATCTTCATTACCACCTAACGGAGAGATATGCGAGAATTTCCCATTGATTATCCTCCAGTCAAATTCGCCAACACGACGTATACTTTCGCTATATCTAAAGGAATTACATTTATCTAGGAAAAGAAATAAATTATATAGACATTAGACGTTACAGTTTTTTTTTTCTTTCTTACAGAAAGTTGCAAGTTTTGATAATAAATATCTTTTCGGCTACACACAATAATCGTGAGAAATCTACGGAATCCACTTTTAAATTGGCTACACTTGGTAATGTATACCGAATAAATTTCTCCGGATCTGCTGAATCCTGAAGACCAAGACATTTAATCGAAAATTAGATTGAATATTTAATATTTCGACCGTTCATATCTTTAAAGCCGTCAACACGACACGATGCGATACACGGGCAATTCAGGGAAGAAAACTTTCCAGAAGGCCGCTGTCCATCGTGCGTGCACGCTGCGTAATCATCAGAGTATATACAGAGTGTTCCACTTCTGCCGTATCATCTTTTAAGGAGTCCTTGACTAGTTTGGAGTCGGGCTGGCGTCAAATGTCAAGGGAAATCAACGTCTATCATAACTTTCTAATCACTCAAAAAAGTAGTTATAAAAATATCGTTATAAAAAAATCAACATATTTAAATAAATATTTTATTAACGACTATACTAATTAACTGTATAATGTCGACAATACGGTAACAATATCGTCCTTTAATTTCCTTCGCAAATTACTCGAAATCCCACTTTGATGTTTTCGTTGAGGAAAAATCGATCCCATGGGGATCCATCTTTGACAAATAATCTTTGCCACAGAAGTGAAACATCCTGTACCCATGACTATGCATACGTGCCTAGAGAACTCCCCTCGCTTATCATCGCTTATGCAAAAAATAACTGTCACTGTAGACACTCTAATTGACATATTAATCTCTACTTCCCCTGCTTACCCCCTCGCCGACCTCTATCGATCACTCAACGAGACGTATGGTAGCTTTTTGCTCCTACAAATATATTACATTGTGTCTCGATTAATTATTATTTTCATAATTAAGCGTCCTGATCATTAATCTGAGCAGATTCCGTTAGCTATTTTATACAAACTGAAATTTATTCTACAAAGGATATTTCTTATTATCGGAGAGATAAATAAAATTTTTTTTGTGACGCCACAATCGATTATGAGAATATAAATTTTATTGTTTACATAAGTTTCCAAGAAGATATATTTCTCGATGAATTATGAATTTCTCGATGAATTAATGAATAAATAATACACGATTTAATAACACTAAATGATTCAATTATATAAATCTATTCGTTGAAATTTAAATAATGAGATTATTCGAATTCTTTTCCAATAATTCGTAACTAAAAGTAGATTTCAATGTTCGTGAAATTTAAGTCAAGTCTGATTTAAATTCGAGTTTTATAAGAACTGACATTTCCACTATCAACACACTTACATCGTTATGTGGAATTATTCAAATTCTCGACATGTTACCGAAAATGTAACACCGAAATTCGTGCACAGAAAAAAAATTGGTCTTAAATTAAGAAAAATATTCTCATATATAAACAAAAATATCATAATCTCCTGAAAAATTTCTTGATTTGATTGAATTTAATATTGATGCAAGTGTTATCTTTGTTCAACTTCAACATTGAAATTCTTTTATGAAGATTATGCTGCTTATATATGAAAATATCTATACTTGCATCAATACTAAAATTTTTCTAAGATTATATAATATCCCCGCTTATATATGAGAATATATAATCTTGATTTAAGACTAATTTTTTTTCTGTATGCTTGTTTTTCATACGAGGACCGGCACGCGGATTAAGGATTTCGTAAATTAATTAAGTAAGTATGCGGCGAAAAACTTGCGTCAGAAAAACCGCGATAAAGAGGAATTGGATTCTTGCTCGATTTACAGCTCGATTACAAGCTACGTGACGGAAAGCCCATGCGAAAGGGACGAGTAATAATCATCCGGCTCGCTATCGCTTATGCTTTGGCATTCGGTGGTGATAACCCCGAATAAGTATAAATGAAATAGTTTCTAATGTCTGCAAGACGCATGCGCGATATGCGTGTCGAATGTTGCTTTTGACAATCTCGCCTTGTTACGGTCTACCGATGACTATCATGTGATCCCACTCAGATGCTAACAACTTCCTCGTAGTTTCGTCGTTTCCGAGCAGGTTATTTTCGTGCGTGTCATACGAGAGAATCGTGGTTCGGGAAGAGAAATCTTCACGCGCGAAAAGAGCCCTGCCTATGGACCATCTCTTCTCATCTTCGTAAATCACGTGACGCGGAAACATCTTTATTTACATTTGCCGTTATAGCGTATATGTCGTAATTGTATAAAAATAGCAAAAAGTTATCGAAATTTAAAGGAAATTCATTTACTATTTTTAATTATTTCATTATTTTTTTATTTATTATTTTATATTTCTATTGGTTAAAAATATTAAATAAATTTAAATTATAAAAAAATTAAAGTATCAATAAAACAACACGGTTTTTGTAACATATTTATAAAAGAAAATATTTATAATTTTCCATCATGGATGACAAAAGCTTTTTGTCTTGAATAATTGTTATGAATATTTTTTTTCTAATAAATTACAACGAATAAAAATAAAAAAATAATTTATAAAAACATTTGGAATTACTCTAAATATCAAATAAGTTAATAAATAAAATATAAAAATAATTAATCGTATCACATTCGTAACTTTACAACAAAACATATGGCCCAAATATGCTATTTAATTTTTGTATTAATGTTGCAATATATATTTTTCTATTAAAATTAAAATTAATTATATATTTTTCTATTAAAATTAACAAATTTAAAAATTTTCAAACCATTATAGAAAACTATTCTCTCTTTTTTATACAAAAGAAATAGTAAAATAGTCCATGTAATTTTTATGCTTTTACGATATTTACATTCATAAAAACTAAAAGCGCTGGATATCCTGAAATATTCCGTCATTTTAAATCTGTCCAAATTTCACATTCTCGATAATATTAGATGATTATTGCAAAATTTCCGAATTAATTAATGTGACTGGGATTCACGATAAGACGTGTCGAAAAATAGACGATATAACCGATTTGATCAGTTTTAGAGTTTGGACTTTGGACAGCTGATTACGAGTATAATACGAGCATAGAATTTTCTACGTGCTTACCAAATAGATTGGAGTAGACAGAAATACAACGTCATCTAACTCCACGAGAGAATTAACGTTGTCATGGACGCCGCTATCCGCATGATAAAGAACTGGCCACTCTCATGTCATGAGCGGTAATGTCAAATGATTACTTCATTTTTGATAACGATAAAATTACAATAAAATTAATAACGATATTAGTAATAATACGATCCGTCTCATTTCGCTTTTAAAATTGCGCTTGCTAAAACTGTTATCTACACATTATCGAGAAAACATTTCTGTCTTTAACGGAGTATTTAATTGATTTGGAATTACAGACAGTTGAAAGCGTAAATATTCAAACAATATTTCAGCTCTCAGGATTTCGATCCAGAGATGTGCATTATAGATTTACATTCTTTTTTAGAAAATAGTAATGTGTTTACGATACATCAAACTGATCGAATCATCAAGGAATATAATTATAGAAATCTTTATCTCCCCACTTAAATAATTGATCGGCATCAAATAGAGCCACGGCATGACGCTCCGCTATTTGCTCGGCGATAAAAATCGGGAGCACGTTCGACTTATCGATGGTGTAAAATAGATGAAATTTTCTCAACGTGCGTATTCGAAATAGGAGCGACTCGAAACGTATTCCTGGATAAGCGATACTTCGCTAGATTTTACGTAACTATGCGTAATGAAATATTAACCGCATCGTCCGCGAACGATTGTATAATAAATGCGTCGCGATCGCGTGCGTACACGCGAGCCGACGGAAAAGAGAAATCGAACCCTGTTCGAGCTGTTTTCTAAAAAAAGGCCGATGCCATCCGACAACATTGCGAGCTGATGTTCACATAAAGAAGAGTTTTGTTTGATATAGATCGAAAAAATAATTTTGTTAAAATAATGATATAAGTCATTCGAATTAATTGCTAGAATATAAAAAAAATTTATAGTATTATCATCATGTCCTACAAAAGTAATTTTGATGACGCAAAAAAATTATTTTTTAGATCTGTATCAAATTTTTAGATCCTAAAAGTCATTCTTTCCGCGTTCGAAAAGCGTTGGTCCATATCAACGATCCATGAGTTTGTTGCGCCACGACATCGAGAAAAAAAAAAAGAAATACCAACGTATCGCTGGAGAGTTGAGAGAGCTGCGAGAGAAAGAGAAGAGAAAAAAAGAAGTTTTCTCCCGAGGACGTTAAAAACAGAAGAGTAAAAATATATATATACCAGTTATTTCTCCGATTTTGGACTCGCACATTTATATATACTAAAATAAATGACAAGCGCCATTTTCGGATAAATCTCCGAGTTAAAGAAGCAAAATTAGGTGGGGCTAAAATAGCTGATGGTAAATCAGCTGTAATGGCTTATAAATAAGCGGTTACGGTTAAAATAAAGAAACCAAATCAATTCCAATAAAGAGTAAGTTGCTTGTCCGGAGTCGTAAATAAGTCATAATAAGGGAGAGCGTAAAACTGGGGCAACTATGCGGCATCATAAATAACTTAAAGACTGATCAAAACAAGACAAGTCGGGCGATAAAAAAAAAAAGAGAAAAAAAAGAAGAGGTGATCTTATTGACACTTGTTTAGAATTTCTTCATTTAATTCGGATTTCGCGAGCAGAGGAGGAAAAAGACAGGGACGGAGAGACGAGAAAGCGACAGGTCAGATAAGAAGTCGTGAAAGAGCGACGGAGATGGACGATGAAGATCACGTGGCGTCAGAAAGAGACGGCGGTAGGGAGTCGCGCGTCGACGCGAGCGAGATAAAACGTTGCAATCGGAGAAAGAGACAACGCGATGGTTCCGTACATCAAAGAAACAGAGCGATTGCGTCAAACGCCCCACACACACACATACACACGTACACACGACATGCTTTTCTCTGTCTCTCCCTCTCTCTTTGTTCCTCTATGCCCCGATTTTGGTGTCATTATTTCGGCGTCCATCGAATATCCCGGACGACAAAATCGTCTCCGCGTCCATCAGCTCGGATCCATACGGTCGCTCCGAAAATAAAGACGCGATTTTCATACATACACACACAACAAACAACACACACACTCTCTCTCTCTCTCTCTCTCTCTCTCTGTCTTTATCTAGATATCCGTCCTTCTCGCGCGAGAGAAAAATAGAGAAAACGCGACTCACCTCCTTTTCTCCTTATGCTTTTTCTCTTTGTTATGGGTGTCCATGGTAAGGTGATACTCCAAAGGGTCCAAGGGACGTGTAGCAATATACTTTTCCAGCGGCGCACAGAAAACCGGGACACTCTCGGTCACTGCCAAGGAACGTATCCGGGGTGTGCGCGCGCGCGCGCGCGCGAGTGCGAACGGCGAGCTCGGCTCTCTTTCCTACCCCCGGTCCGACTTGACGGGAAACTTGGTCGCCTGTCTCTCGCACTTTGCTCTCCCGTTTTCCGCGGCTTGTCTCTATCTCTGTCGCTCCGTCGGTTTATCTCGGCGTCGGTATCGGTGGTCGATGCGCGCACGCGACGGCGTTGTCACTCGCTATTCGATGTCGCGCTGAACCGCGGCTGAGAGACGACGTCGGACAGCGTCGCGTTTCGACGGGAGCACAGGTTGACCGCGTAACAACGGATTCATGGCGTGCGACGACAACAGCGAACGCGATGATAACGACGTTATGGCTATCGCGAGCGGTTGCTGACAAACGGCGACACTGTTATTACGCGCTGCGCCCGATGATCCACGACGCCTGCTATCGCGACCGAGAGCGGAATGACGACCAGAGGGGTGGGAGGAATGCGCTCAGACGTCACCGGTGGGGTCCCGTCATCTAGCGGCGTCCCGAAGATTTAGCGAGCGAATTAAAAAAAAATCGCGCGGCAAGTTCGAACAGCTGGAAACCATCCCAGCGATACGTCTGTGCTCATCAAATTTGGGCTTCCTCGTATTTTCTTTTTCCGCGCTTACATGCCGAAATATATACGTATTGAAAGTCTTGTAAAGAAGAGTAAGGACTGAAACGTAAAAGTTGTAACTGAAACACAAATAATCGAGCTTGATAAGAGACGAACTTGATAAGAGAAATCCGATCTACATTATGTATGATTATATAAATATAGAATATAACATTTAAATGCAACAAGTAAAAATTCTCGATCGGGTGATTACTATAAACCGCATTTTAGAGCTGTTCCAAGTTATTCGCTTAATAAGAGTAATTCTACCGATTTACTCTTAATAGCAAATACTCTTCCTAAAAATTTATTTTGCGAAACTATACAGTGCAGTAGGTAATTAATTTACTTAGAGTAATTAAGATAGAAAGACAAGACGTAGGTGATTATCGCTAGTCCGCCGCACTTTGACTGGTAACCACCGCTTTTCTCTTGTCTTCGCTGCTCGCCGTCGATTGCATTTTCTTTTCCGCTTCCTGGTCAATCTCTTCCTCTTCATCGTTGTCCAGGTCGTCCGTCGACGTACCTTTATTCTCGTACAAGGCCGGATATTGCGACATGCATGCCTGCATCGTCTCAAACGTTTTGCGACAATCCGAACCTTTTGGATCTGCGGTCGAATAGTGAAAGCAAGAGAAGGCCTCACGGAATTCTAAGCCACATGGCCCGGTCGCCATTCCTCCCAGACACGGACAGTTCCAATTGATCTCGCCGTTGGGCAACAGCAACCCGGGACTGGGCTCCGGTTCAGGCAAACTAATTTTACTAGGCGCCGCATGATCCTCCTTAGATGCAAAGATAATGGTATCCTTGCCTTCCTTGCGTATCAGTGGCATTATGTAAATTCGGACGGTATTTCTCCGTGCCGATACGTTCTACTATTGGCAGTGAACGACAATAAATTCGGTGATGCTCGATGAACAGTGTACACGCACGTTTTCTCTTCGTATTTGGTACTCAGAGTCAAGGCTGCTCGTAGTCGAACGTAGCTGTTGTACGGACAACGCAGGATGAATCTGCGCTTCGAGGGGTAGAGCTTCAGGATGTCTACGGTACTCTTGGTTCCCTCCTCTCCGAATAATCTCCGAACGGCTTCCAGAATGTTTTTCTTGAGGTACACTGGGGACACTGTAACGTCAGGATCGAGTGGAAGCTCTCTATAAAACAGAAACAAACTGAGCATACATAATTTGCCGCTTGTTAAAGCTGAGAGTTTTTTCAAACTACAATCTCCCGATTTTCGGATCGTCATCACGCTCGCTCGGCAATAGGATTAAAGTTCGAGGGAGTCGCGCGTACAGGTTATGTCCCACAAATCAGCCGTAATATACGCGAATAGAAATAGTGAATGTACTAACAGAGAAACGTCTAAGTAATACATCTTACGGTGAACCGCTGGCTCGTCACTCATATCGACTCCGCGCAACGAACGGTAGACATCACAGAAAAGGCACGGTACTTACAACACGCGATACACCTCGCACGTCGGCGTCTGATCTGTGTCTTCACGTGCCTGCGGCGATGGACAACAGCGCCGAGCGAACAGTGGTGCGAGATGCAGTACTGCCAAACGGACGAAATGTATCAACTGGCATCTTTCTCCAAGAACAAAAACATTTCTTTCAATTTTTTTTTCTTTCTTTTGAGACTTTTCCAAATTTACTCTCGTGAGTTTTTCTCCTCTCCTTCTTTCCTCTTCCAAATATCGGTGAGTACTTCGAATGCATAAAATGCGCCTGCAAAGTGAGAAAATGAAATTTATACGTTTTTGTTTTTTAATGCTGTGTTTGCTCTGCACTTCCGAAACACAATGTGTGTGTGTATAATAATATGTTTTTATATATATATTATATATAAAAACATAATTGCAAGAATTCAGAATTTTTTTTACTCGCTAATTTGAAAGCGATTTAAATTTTCATTTCAAATTTTCCTCGGACATAAATATAGAATGGGATTATTCATGTCGAGGATTTCTAAGCGCGCGGATGAATAGTCGCGCTCTTGGGTTCCTTACAAACCGTAAAAATTGGACATTTCACACCCGCTGTTTTCGGAGCGTGTAAACCCGGCATTAGCCTGCTCCGCGATCGACCACGCGTGAGTACCGGCGAACGCCCGTTTTCGTCGGGAGGGGAGTCTGTCGAGGGTCCCCCAGGAACTCGGTTCTCAGTCGCAGCTCGGCTGTCAGTGTGCGACGATCGAGCCGCGTTCACCTGCCTGCGTTGCGCTCCGTGTGCGCACATACACGCGCATCCACACATCTCGTACACATACACACATACATATATATATATTTATATATACATATACATATTATATAAATACATACATAACACGTACGCACGTCTCTCACGCTGCGTTGTGTCGGACACACGCGGACGCGCGAGGGTGGCTGCTGTCACCGTGGTTTTTGTTACGTGCGGCAAGGGTGCCACGTGAGAGAGACGGAGAGAGAGAGAGAGAGAAGGGGGGAGAGAGAGGGACGAAGAAAGGACAATTCGAGGAGGCGGAACGAAACCGGGGGGACCCATGCGTCGCACGATGTAGACGGCGGCGGCGCACACACGGACGCGACCGAACGAACCGAACGCGCTACTACGCCCAGTCAGTCAGTCGGACGTCGGCACGGGGGACCGACGACACCTCGGCGATACTCAGTTCTGGACACGGCGACGGGGCGCCCACGGGTTCACCTCGCGAGAAGCTGACAGCGGGGTGCTGATTCGCGAGCTGGGCGACGGGCATCGACGGCGACTGGGTTGCGCGATCCTGACCCTCGGGCGACTCGTGACAGTGAAGTGAGAAGCACGCGTGAGAAGCGGCCGCGAAGGAGGAGGGACGAGGAAGACACCGGTCAGTGAAGTGAACGAAGAGAGAAAGGGAGAGCGAAAGAGAAAGAAAGAAAGGAAGAAGGAAAAAGAAAGGAAGAGAAAAGAAAAGGGAGAAGGAGAGAGAAAGAGATAGAGACAGACAGACAGACAGACAGATAGACAGACGGAAAGAGAGGAAAGGAGAAGGTAGGGGAGAAAGAAAGAGGGCTGCAGGACGGGTGGTCCTGACAGCGTACGGTGACGAGAGAAGACCGACGGTCCTCTAAACGAGCGAGCGGTAATAGGCCTTAAACGCCGGGAAGTAATAGGAGCTCTGTACGTAATTGACACACTAGAACGAGGTTTTTGTTGTCAAAAGTAAAAGAAACGAAACATGCGATAGTATACTAAGCTTGTCGCAAGCGCTAAGCTTCTCTCGGGAGCTTTCCCTCGGTGTTGGATATATCCTTTTGGTCCAACCCTTGGGGCTAAGGCTATACCGTGGCGATGAGCTATATCCTTCTACTTTGGCTCGCTCGAGAGTGCGTGAACCTAGTCGGAGAGTATCGTCGTGGTCATCACTGACCACTCTGGGGCAAGTTCGTCGCCCGTCACCGTCACCGTCATCGTCATCGTCATCGTCATCGTTGTCATTTCCACAACGGCAAGGAGGCGTATCCCGCACGTATCTCGAGATTGTCGCGAGGTAGTGTGCCGATCTCGCCGCGGCTTCCTCCTCGGGGTGCGCTACGGCGACGGGGCGACATCCACGGAACGTGGTTCGGGACGACGGGCAGCAGCCGTATCACCGTCGTCGGCGAAAATCATCGCGAGAGTCTCGCGTCATGAGGGCCTAGCGTTCGACACCGTGGGTCATCGTGGGTCGCGTCAGCGTCGCGTCGGGCGTGCGAGAAGGGACGGCGGCGCGCCGGCGGAAGCCCGGATAGTAGGAGGAGGAGGCACCCGACAACATGGCCGCCGCCTGCTACGAGAAGGAAGTGGTGGTAGGTGCCGCCATTCACCACGGACACGGACACCACCATCATCATCATCACCACCATCATCATCATCACCATCATCACGGTAACGGAGTCGTCGCGTCGTCCGTCGGCAGCGTGACCGGACAGGACAGTGCTGCCAGCGACGTCCACC